TTCATTCATCCACCGTTAACTCTAAAGAAGGTGAAAGTATTGTGTTAGAATTATGCTTGGTGCAACTGTGGACATATATAAAAATTATTGGATCAGTCGTGATGACTATTGGACCTCTTTAAAATCTATCATGCTATTCTCAATCATTTTGGGCCTCTTTTGAATGATTTGTAGTTAGCGCAGCGTCAATTCAACTGGACTGCTCGTGATGGTTGGTGGGCCTTATCAAGAAGAAATTAGTGATATGGATTTCTTGGGATAAAATTTATTAATTTAATTAATTTGGATCATTCGAAATATCCATTAAATCTTTAAAAGAATGGACCGGTCCTATTAATTTTGAGCCCATTATCAAATAGTGGCTCAGTACATAAGAGGCATGATCCAATTAAAGAAAGCAATGAATCTGGTTAAGAAATATGTCCAAATGCATGAGAAATAGTTACAAATCTTGTTAAAAAGGCTGTCCAGATACATCAAACAAGTGCTGATTTTTCTAGCTATTAAATGCGAGCAAACAGAGCCCGAAGCCCATTTTGATTGAGGCCCAAATGCTATGGACGAATTTGCTAAACCCTAAAGCATATTTTCACCCCCTCTACACCTAAAAATAGGGGTCTCAGTTGAGAGGAAGAGAGGAGAACATCCAGTCAAAGAAACGCTGCAGAAAAGCTCTGAAGAACTCCCGAAAGGCTCTGAAGGATTCCGAAACATCGGAAGATATCAAGACACGTTTTTATCAAGAATATATGATTAATCCTTTGTGATTTTCATCTATTCTTGATCAAACAAAGCCAAAAGTTGAAGAACGTTCGAAGATCTGAAGAACGAAACTTGAAGATTCGAAGATCTGAAGAACGAAGCTTTGAACATTCGAAGATATGAAGAATGAATATTTGAAGATTTGAAGATATTCATATGAAGATTGAATCAAGATTCAACTAAAGATCAAGCCATATATCCCGGGAGGCCCTTTAACATAAGATCAAGCCATAAAACGGCCCTTTTGTTGAAGATCAAGCCACTTGAAAACCGGAGGCCCTTCAAGCTGAATTCTTTATTCAAGAAGATTTGAAGACCCGAAGAACGAAGGTTCGAAGATTCGAAGACCCAAAGAACGAAGATTCGAAGACCCGAAGAACGTTCGAATATTTGAAGAATTAGAGATTTAATTTTTAATTAAATTCTTTAATTATATTCCTATCAAATTGCAAGTGAAGAATCAAAGGATTCATATTTAGAGATTGTACCCAATATTCTCACATATTATTATTTGCGATCAATTTTAAGTAAATACTTAAAATTTGTTTCACAAATTTTTGGCACGACCGGTGGGACAACTCTACCTCTCATCTCTTCACTTTTGATCAAGGTAAACGAACCGATGGCATCAAGCAAGCTCGTGTTCACTTTGAATTCTAGAGCATCATCAAGCTCAAATCAAGACATGCAAGGCCCTATCACTAGGAGCCGATCAAGAATCCTAGCAGCGCAATCATCTTCGGGAACTACTCCCAAGACGATGGATGGATTTCGAATTGCGAAAGACATGGCCCGGAAGCTTTCTTCATCCATACGCGAAGTTACTTCTCCGAAATGGACAAGTAGCGGTGAGAGTTCATCATCAGGATCAGACTCTACTCCCCCGTCAAGTCCTCCACGAAGAACTACTCCGCATTGGTCGAACGTCTACACCGTGATGCCCACTATGACGACAAGCACCACATCTATGGAAGAACAAACCGCCCATCTAACTAAGATCATCGAGGGGATGAGTATGTTCATTTAATCTCAAGACAAAAAGTTGAATGATTTGAACAACAAAATAGAAAGCTTGAAAGGTGAGTCAAGTCATACGCATGAGAAGGATCCCGAAATGCATGAAGAGGATGACCCTCACCAAGAGGATTCAAGGAAGAACATCTCAACCTCTGGGGGCATGATCCCAATTCATCAACTCAAAGACTTCATCATGGGAACCATAAAGGGCAAGATAGAAGGAAATCAATCTACTTACTCTTATGTTAAGCCATACACGCAAAGGATCGAGAATCTAAAAATGCCCATTGATTACCAGCCGCCAAAGTTCATCCAGTTTGATGGGAAAGGAAATCCAAGGCAGCATGTTGCCTATTTCGTAGAGACTTGTAACAATGCGGGAACAAGCGGAGATCACATTGTCAAGCAGTTTGTGCGATCCCTGAAAGCAAATGCATTTGACTGGTATACTGACTTAGAGCCCGGTTCCATAGATAGCTGGCAAGACATGGAACGTGAGTTCTTAAACCATTTTTATAGCACAAGGAGAGTGGTCAGTTTACTCGAACTAACAACTACTCGTCAATGGAAAGATGAATCTGTGATAGCTTACATAGAGCGTTGGAGGGATCTTGCTCTAAACTGCAAAGAACGAATATCTACAAGTTCCGCTATCGATATGTGCATTGAAGGAATGCATTGGGAATTGTGCTACATTCTCAAAGGAGTCAATCCTAACACTTTTGATGAGCTAGCAAGCAATGCTCGTAACATGGAGTTGAGCATTACGAGCAGTAAAAGGAAAACGGTGGGTATATATCATATCGATGATGTTGTTGAAAAGCAAGATACCAAGAATGGGGGCAAGCCCTTTTCTAAGTTTGAAAAGAAAGAAGCAATGGTCACTAAGACTGCACCTGTTAAGATCTTCACTCGAAATTCAAAGCAAGTTCCTAGGGTCGATTTGGAGGCGTCAAAACGTTTTAAACCATTTTTAGAAAAGATGTTGGAGAAGAAGTACCCCTTCTTAGAGTCTGACGTTCCTCCCATGTTTGAGGAACTGATGAGATTGAAGCTTATTGATTTGCCCAAGTCCAAACGACCCGAGGAAGCTACAAAGCTTGATGACCTCAACTACTGCAAGTATCATCGAATTCTTAGTCACCCCACCGAGAAGTGTTGGGTGCTTAAAGATAAAATTATGGCCCTTGCTCGTGAAGGAAAGATTGAGCTCACCGATTCCGCTGCAAGCACAAACCAAATTACCATCACTTTTGGTAAGTTTTCTCCGCTCATGATTAAAGATGACTTGAAAGAAGAGAGCAAGAACTCTCACAATCGAAGACTTCCTTTTACTGTCAAAGGAATGGGAAATGACTCTCGTTTCAACAAAAGTGTGAGAGATGAAGAAAATGACCAAGAAGGTCCATGGATCTTAGTAGCTCGAGATAAACAAAAGAAGAATGACAAACCTGAGCCACAACCAAGAAAGGTGGTAAAGAAATGGATCAGGCAACTACCAATAAACGAGTTGAAGAGAAAGAAACAAAGGAAGGATCGTGTTCGATCCAAGGTTGCGAGAAGGGTGGTTACTCTCAACGAATTTATGCCAAAGTATTTCAAGAACGAGATGACTCAAATTTCGAGTTCTTGTCTTAACACCCATGAGAAAGAAGTTGAGAGTTCAAATAGATATTCATCTCCAGTTTCAACTAAGGAAGAAATGGCCGAAGCACAAAAATCAACTGCATATGCCACTGACATTGTCTTTAAAGATGAAGATCTTATGTTGGGTATCACTCCCCATAATCATCCACTTTTTGTTGAAGGATACACTCGTGGACAAAGATTCAAAAGAATTATGATAGATCAAGGGTCTGCGGTTAACATTTTGATGGTTCGGGCTATGAAAGACCTTGGAATATCAATGGATGAACTATCCGAAAGCCGTTTAATGATTCAAGGCTTCAATCAAGGGGGCAAAGAGCAATTGGAATGATACAGCTTGATTTGATCATCGGCGGACTGAAGGCAAACACTCTATGCCATGTGATTGATGCAAAGGCTTCATACAATCTCCTTCTAGGACGCCCATGGATCCATGAGAACGGTGTAATCCCTTCAACATGGCACCAATGCTTCATGTATGAGCAAAATGGCGTTGTAAAGAAGGTAGTGGCCGATGAAACTCCATTCATAGGAGCCGAGACATACTTTGCAGATGCAAAGTTATACCTAAAGGCCAAAATTTCTAAAGATGACAATGCTAGACAAGAGGAAGAATATCGCCCCTTGATTGGACCAAAGCTGAAAGGAAAGCTTGTTGAAGGCGTAGAAGGGCTCACATTCCCTCTTGCAAAGATTGAAATATCAAAGCCTTCTCAAAACACATCTGAGGAGGAAGTAAAAAGTGGGAATGATGTTAAGGCATTTCAGCTCCCTAAAGCACGCACAAATGAAGGATTTAATCCAAACGCATATAAACTTCTGGCCAAGGCTGAGTATAAATCCAACGAACCGATTTTGGGAAAACTCATTCCGAAAGCTGGTGGTGAAGGGAAACCGAAGTAGATCAATCTTCAAGGGCACACAGGATTGGGTTATGTTCAGCCGAAACCCATAAGGATCCTCATAAATAGAGCCGCAACGCATAATATTAGTGCTGATGAAGAAGATGAAGTAACTTCTAAACTGAAGTATTCAGTCTTTGATCGGATTGAGGGGGTAAGATCAAGGCCCGCCATCTTTGATAGATTGGATCTGAAGCCAAAGAAAGTTATGAAGATGACTTTACAAGAACGGCTTGGAACGAGCTCAATGATGATGAAACACGTTGAAGACACATGCACGGGACAAAACTTCAAAAGAACGTCTGTTCATGAACGATTGGGACTGAAACATGAACATAATACATCTGCTAAAGTTCCTCTCGAAAAGCAAAGTCTTAATGAGTATAGAAGTTTTATCCCATCTCGTATGAAGCGAGAAACTGATGTGAAAGTGACCTATGGGAATGCATTTAAAGTCAAACCAGTGACCATTGTGCCCACCCGTGGTCAATATGAAGACCAATATGAATATTCAGTACCCTTGATGTCGAGGTATATATATGTCAAATAAAGCGTTGAAAGGCTTAAACCACCAATGATGTTGTAAGTGGCTAAACTGCTAAAACATCTCACTTTGTCTATGGGTGAGCATAATCATAGATACTCTTAGCCCACGAGAGTTAAAAATGTGTACGGCAAGCTCCTGGCCCGCATAAGTTAAAACTGTGTACGGCACCCCACCCCTTTATATTACCAATTCAAATGGTACTTATGAACTACGTTTGACTTGATCTCCTTCACAGGAGTACGTAGGCAGCTCAAAAGTTTCATTTTTGAGTTCAGTTCTAACAAAACAAAAAAGGGAGGATATCAGCAAAAAGAGTACGAAAAACAAAGTCATACTGGAATGTCGGAGTTCTCAAGTCTGTGCCTCACCTGAAATTGATTGAGTTGAGCCTCGAACATCATCTTCTAACAGCGCCCCCATCTTGACAATGTATCAAGATGTGCCACTCTATCCTTCACACCGGTGAAGTGATTGGTCTTGACACTGGCAAAGTAGCCAGACTCCAAACCAACGAAGTGGTCGTCTTTCAAACTGGCGAAATGACTAACCTTCATAAACGGCGAAATGGCCGCCCTTCATAAATGGCATCAGTAGGGCTTCGTATTCACAGGACTTCAACAAAATTCTTAAATCGGTGTCATCCCAACAAAGGGCTAAGCAGCACCGACAATCGGCCTAATTCAGTGCCATCCCAACAAAGGGCTAAGCAGCACCGACAATCGGCCTAATTCAGTGCCATCCCAACAAAGGGCTAAGCAGCACCGACAATCGGCCTAATTCAGTGCCATCCCAACAAAGGGCTAAGCAGCACCGACAATCGGCAATCAGCCTAATTTTTTTAAATCGGTGCCATCCCAACAAAGGGCTAAGCAGCACCGACGGTCCGAAATCGACTTAATCGGTGTCATCCCAACAAAGGGCTAAGCAGCACCGACGATCGTGAATTAGCCTAATTCTTTAAATCAATGCCATCACAACAAAAGGCTAAGCAGCACCGACAATTGACAATCGGCATAATTCTTTAAATCGGTGCCATCCCAATAAAGGGCTAAGCAGCACCGACGATCGAGAATCAGCCTAATTCTTCATATCGGTGCCACTAACCCAACAAAGGGTCATAAGCGACACCGATGACCAGCAAGACTGCTTCAAGCTCCGGCAAGACCGCTTCAAGCTTCGGCAAAACCGCTTCAAGATCCAGCAAAACCGCTTCAAGCTCCATGAAATTTCTCTCTGCCGCATCAACAAAGCTCTAGCCAAGCATCTGCTCCGGCATCTCTAACCATTGACCTCCGACGTCGATCTCCTCAACGAGCACAGGGCCACCATCCCACGTCACTTTGGTCTTCACAACGACAAAATACCAGTCTTCACACCAACGGCCGTCAGTCACTCAAGTTCTTCCTTCTTTAAATCAGTGCCATCATCTGAACAATGGAGCAGGCGGCGCTAACGGCATCAAAGGCTTTAGGCAGCAAGGATGGTCCCTGTATTAAAAAAAAGGCGAAAAAAAAGGAGCCATAAAAAAGGGTTTTTAAAAAAAAATCCAAATCAGACCTCCCGGTTCATCACAGCCCAGATTCCCATTTTAAGATACTGAATAATGTGTCAAAGAGCCCAATTTAATGGCCCCAAGACATCATACGAAGCTCCTGATGCAGACGAACGGAACCGCCATCGGCTCCGTCAGCAACGGCATCATCACAGCTTCCAAAAAAAGTCTCTGCAGCTTCAGCCTAATTCTTCGATGAACAGGAGTAACGCCGCAGATCTGCTCCTTCTTCCTCTTGGGCAGACGCTCACCATCTCAGGCTGAACGATTTTTAACGATGGTGGCCTCTTCTATGCTTCGAACGGTGACGACAACAGTAGCTTCTCTCTCCGGCAAACAGCAATCAATTGAAAACATCTGCTCCCTCTCGCCAAGTCTGCAACAACGGCATCTCCTCTCTCCAGCGAACCGCGAATGGCACCAGCGACGGGTTCCTTTCTCCTTGAAATCTCAGTCCGCTGCATCTACAAAAGTCTAACCAGCGATATCACAAACTCAACTCCTGACGGAATCATCATCCCGAAAAGAAAAAACATTGTTGCCGGTTCTCCTTCCAAGTGCAGCGAACAACGCTCACCTTCTGCGGAACACACGATCGACCAAACTTCTCCTCCTCGCCGGAAATCACAAGCCCAATCGATGGAACCGGCAACAAAACAAGAACGGCGGCCAAACCATTGCACCAGGACAGATATTGCAGCTACGGAAACATTCAGTTTCTCTTCTCACAGCAAAAGGAATCTCGAATTAGCCCCAGCTGCCGGCAGGACCAGCGATTTCCGGTGGTGGCATGTCTTTTGCAGCTCTCTATTCCTGCAAAACACCAAAAGCATGACGAATAAAACTATTAACATAAAAGAAGCTTACCTTTTGCCTTTCCTTGCTCTACGGAATTGCTCTATGATATTGCCCCTATTTATAATTGAATATGAATCGGGATCCCCCACTGAGAGAAAGAATTCAACTGGTAGTGTACTTGTGTTTAAGAGCAAATTATACCGTGGGATCGGCCCACCGTGCGCACGGTGTGCCGATCCCTAAACGGCGCCGCTTCGATCAAAAACAACCATCTTCTTCCTTCCCAACTATCAGGCAGGCCGTCCGATCATCCCTGGAGAAGCTCTGTTGAATCCTGATTCCAGAGCAATCCCCTACCAATCCAAATGGTTTTTCCGGCGAATATCTGTTCAGAATCTGAGCAACCATGGCTGGCCTTTATTATTTGCCGGCCACCTCTCTTCCAACTCTGTCATTGGTTCCAAACTCACTGTCTTCACCCTTTCTGAGCTAACGAAGGATTGAAAGAAGAGAACTCTATCCACCTCTACTTGTTTGCTTATTCTTTGATCTTGTGCACAGAATCAGAGAAAGGGGAAGAGAAGTCGTAGTTTAATTACCATTCAATTAAACACAACAACATTTATTTAGAAAACTTAAATTTTAGAAAACTTAAATTTTAATTTGGCAAGTTACATTCTCATTAACCTGATTTACATTTCGTTTTGGCTTAAGTTACATTTGTATACTCGCGAGTTACTTTGAGCTTGTCTCAGAAAGTTACACTTATGAGTTACATATTCAATCAACGCGAGTTACATTTGTCTGAATGCGAGTTACATTTGAAAATGAACCCTTGCTAATGAAGAAAAAAAAGGATTTTTTAAAAATCATTTTCAATGGCCTTGACATTAAAAAATAAAACATATACACTATTTATGTAAAGCAATTGTGCAATTAGACTTTTTTTTATTGTTTACATTGAAATCAATATTTTATTATTTATACTATGTATTTGACAAATTACATTTCGAATGAACTTGAGTTACATTGGTCAACAACGTAAGTTACATCTTTTTACACGCGAGTTACATCACTCTGCTACTGGGACAAGGGAAGGACAAAAAAAAGTTACTGTTCACGCGTGTGAACAGTAACACGCGAATTTGACCTTTGGGAGCATCATGCTCATCGTGGGTTGCTCCCACGGTATAACAACTCGTGTTTAAGGCGGTGATAAGAGTTTGAATTGCTTGGGCTGGATATTTGAATTAGAAAAGGGCTGCCCAACTTTTGAGATACGAAGCATACATACGTATTTTTCCTCAAACTTATTCACTGAATGAAAGTCTAATGCTATCAAGTATCTAGAGCTATACGCTAATAGTGAAATCAAAATCAAGAGTTTCAGGGGTGCTTTTATTTAGAGCTATTACACAGCTTTTATTTGGGATGCTTTTGCTTAATGAGTTGGTGAAGTACATTCCGAAAGAGAAAACAAGTCAGATATGTCGAGACTTACTTTACTCGTCCAAGACATTCAAGCAAGTCTCGAGGGGCATTTGTGGACATATAAAAATTATTGGATCAGTCATGATGACTATTGGACCTCTTTAAAATCTACCATGCTATTCTCAATCATTTTGGGCCTCTTTTGAATGATTTGTAGCTAGCGTCAATTCATCTGGACTGCTCGTGATGGTTGGTGGGCCTTATCAAGAAGAAATTAGTGATATGGATTTCTTGGGATAAAATTTATTAATTTAATTAATTTGGATCATTCGAAATATCTATTAAATCTTTAAAAGAATGGACCGGTCCTATTAATTTTGAGCCCATTATCAAATAGTGGCTCAGTACATAAGAGGCATGATCCAATTAAAGAAAGCAATGAATCTGGTTAAGAAATACTCCCTCCGTATCTTTAAAATCTTCACATTTGAAAAGTAGGTAGATTAAGAATAGTGAAAGAGAATCTGAATTATTGAGGGTATGATAGGAAGATAGTGGAATAAGGTGATGGAATGTAGGATAAATCCAAAAAAAGTAGTTGTAATAGTGTATTATTTTCAAAATTATTGAGGGTATGATGGGAAGATTTAGAAATGGGAAGATTTTTTTGTTACGGACGAAAAAGGAAAGTGGGAAGATCTTAAAGTTACGGAGGGAGTATGTCCAAATGCATGAGAAATAGTTACGAATCTTGTTAAAAAGGCTGTCCAGATACATCAAACAAGTGCTGATTTTTCTAGCTATTAAATGCGAGCAAACAGAGCCCGAAGCCCATTTTGATTGAGGCCCAAATGCTATGGACGAATTTGCTAAACCCTAAAGCATATTTTCACCCCCTCCACACCTATAAATAGGGGTCTCAGTTGAGAGGAAGAGAGGAGAACTTCCAGTCAAAGAAACGCTGCAGAAAAGCTCTGAAGAACTCCCGAAAGGCTCTGAAGGATTCCGAAACATCGGAAGATATCAAGCCACGTTTTTGTCAAGAATATATGATTAATCCTTTGTGATTTTCATCTATTCTTGATCAAACAAAGCCAAAAGTTGAAGAACGTTCGAAGATCTGAAGAACGAAGCTTGAAGATTCGAAGATCTGAAGAACGAAGCTTTGAACATTCGAAGATATGAAGAATGAATCTTTGAAGATTTGAAGATATTCATATGAAGATTGAATCAAGATTCAACTAAAGATCAAGCCATATATCCCGGGAGGCCCTTTAACAGAAGATCAAGCCATAAAACGGCCCTTTTGTTGAAGATCAAGCCACTTGAAAACCGGAGGCCCTTCAAGCTGAATTCTTTATTCAAGAAGATTTGAAGACCCGAAGAACGAAGGTTCGAAGATTCGAAGACCCAAAGAACGAAGATTCGAAGACCCGAAGAACGTTCGAATATTTGAAGAATTAGAGATTTAATTTTGAATTAAATTCTTTAATTATATTCCTATCAAATTGCAAGTGAAGAATCAAAGGATTCATATTTAGAGATTGTACTCAATATTCTCACATATTATTATTTGCGATCAATTTTAAGTAAATACTTAAAATTTGTTTCATAGCAACCTTTGCGGTTGTCATGGAAAATGAGCAAAATTAGATTTACAAATCATAACTTAAAACTATTAAGAGCAAAATTGACGTATTCTATTTACTCTCAGTGTGTCACATCGTAATCTTATCTACGTGGATCAATTTGAATATTCTGATTAAACAATTCGCACTAATCAAATTAGATGCAGTATCCTCACTTACGTGCCGGTACCGTGCCGTAGCATACTACCCCTAGCTTTCACATAACTATTTTACGCTTTAGTCCAATGGCAACGTACACATTGAAGATTATTTGATGCGTGTCTATATCTGTATGTATAGATGGAATGAAGACCATCCATGGTGACATTTGTGACATTTATGATTGCGTGGAAATATATAAACAACCGGACATGCGCCATCCGGCAATGGCAAGTGAAAGTATTCGGGTAATTACTTACGAAGTATTTGCGTTATTTTTTAAATTTCAAAATAAGGCTATCATGTTTTTTTTTATTTTTTGAGTAGAAGTAAATTTCTGTCAAATTTGGCATTATTAGGGTTTAAACATATCATTTGAATTGTTACCAAACTTGGCAGATTACTCCTATGCAACGAATAAAAAGCATCATAATCCTATGTAGGAATTGTTACGATTAGGCAAAGATAAACGATAAATTAAGAGCAAGAACACAAGAATTAATGTGGTTCACACAATCGATTTGATTGTGCTAGTCCACGGCGAACGAGAGAGTATTATTATCAGCGTCCCCAAGAGGTTTACAAGTACATAAGAGTCGTTTAAATAGGTTTAAGAAAACCTAAACTGAGATTAGAGCCGCAGGCCCAAAATTAAGCCTGAAATTAAAAAACCCGTCGACTGACCCGGTCGGGTCTCTTATTTGACCCGGTCGGGTCTCCTTTACAGAATACAAACCCGGGTAGAAACCAGGTCGGGTTTCCAAAACAGAGGCTCACCGAACATCTGACCGGTCGGGTCTCACATTCCAGAGAGTCCCCAGGTCTCTGCTTCAACATACCCGGTCGGGTCCTTCATCTGACCCGGTCGGGTATCAGTTCTGAAACTCTGAACAAGACTCCATCTTCACAATCTCCCACTTGGAGGCTTGGTCAACAATCATCTGCCATCCAAGAACATGTATCTTCTGTAAAAACCCC